TCACAAACCATCAAATCCATCAACGTGATCACAATTATCACTGACATCACAACCATCATGACCATCACTACCATGAGAACCTTCATGACCATCACAACCATCACCACCACGAAAGTTATCACTGCCATTCCTACTGCCACTACCATCACTGCCATCACAACCACGACAACCATAGCAGCCATAAAAAGCTTTACTGCAAGTGTCATCATAACCGTCACAAACATTACTACCGCAACCATCACTAGCATAACAGACATTACAACCATCGGAACCATCACTACCATAACAGCCATCTCAACGATGGCTACCATCAACATTATCATTGCAATCATTATTATCATCATAATCATAATCATGAACAGATGTTCATCCTCGTCCTCATCCTCACAGGCATCCTATCATTATCCTCATCATCCTCATCATCATAGTTGGAAGCCATCATAATCATCATAACCATCACAATCACCATGATCATCACAATAATCATCAAAATCATCAAAATCACCATCATCATCATTATCATCATCATCATCATCATCATCGCTATCCGCATCCTCATTAACATCCTCATCCTCGACAGCATCAGCATTACCGTCATAATCGTAATCATCATCATCCATCATCATCATCAGCAGCAGCAGCATCATCATCATCATCTTCATCTTCATCTTCATCTCATCGATTTATGTGCCAACCCCTGTTACATTTCAGTTTTTTTCTGCAACAGGTTGCCGTCCCTGGAACTCTTCCACTCGGCTTCGACAAATTTGGGCATCCGCTCCCTGCAGCTCGACGTCAAGGGGCAGTACATGGATGTTTTCCTCCCAGGAAATACGATAGCCGAACCAACTTCAACCAAGGAATGGTAGTCTCATCAGCGAACCTGACTATATCAAATCATCCTAGATTGAAGCCAAGCTGTTTAAGTCTTGGATGATTGGTTGATATTCACGACAATATGTTTTAAAACCCAAGGTTTCTTACATGGGGGCTTCCTAATGGCTGGGATACCCCCAAATCATCCATTTTTCTTTGGGATTGTCCATGAAATAAAAACCATCCAACTATTGGGGAATCCTATTGCTACGGTGGCAACAGGTGGTTCCGATCTCCAGCTGGACAACCCCTCTGGAAGTCTGGAAGATTGTTTTCGTGGAGAAAAGCATACACTTATGTTGGGGTCCATATTGAATTTGTGTAGTGCTGTCGTTGTCGTTGTCGTTGTCGTTGTGGTTGTTGTTGTTGTTGTTGCTGCTGTTGTTGTTGTTGTTGTTGTTGTTGTTGTTGTTGTTGTTGTTGTTGTTGTTTTTACAGTATACACTTCTTATGAGTGGTTGACAGCCTGACATCTTCATCCGCACTCACTTCCTATCATCCCATGGTGGCCATGGAGGCTGCTACCCAGGTACCCTTGAAGTGACATGAGTTTGTCTCAAAGCGGGGGCCATCAAACAATGGGATGGAACATGATGGAATGGGCTTCCACACTTCAAGAAAACCTATTCTGGACACTTCTGGACTACCCAGAAAACACGGGTTTCCAGAAGGATTGCAACAAACGGAGCTTTCATCGGCAAACATGTCCAAAGATAGATTTCACTCCCATTTCACAACAGATTTGTGCAATCTTCCGAAGTTGATGGAAATCCAACCCACCATCCATTTTCCATCCTCCCATGGCATAAGGACTTCGGTGGCCCGTGGCCAGCTGCTGTGTTTTTACCCCGCGCGGATCTTTCCGGGCGCCACTCCGGTGTCAGAGCTGCCGTTGGGTGATCAGCTGTTGACCAACGAGTACGAGAATGTGTACCTGGACGGGGGGACTCCATGCTGCGCAAATACGGGTTTCATAAAATAAGGGATCCGAAAGTCGCCATGGGTTTCAATACTAAGTCATGGTCATCCATGACTTAGATGATTTGTGGGCGTCCCCCCAATTCGAGTTATGTAGGTGAATGATTTTTGTTGGAGATAAAGACGTATTGGCTGCCATTTGAAACGAGGATCACCCATTTAGGGGTCGCAGTAAACATCATTCCAGTCAGAACCGGGTATACCCAATCAATCTTAATAAGAAACCCGAATTGGGCATGGTTTATTATTGGGTTTACCACGTTAGTGTTGTTTTATTGACTTGTCGATTGTATTGTTGAGGTATTTCAGTGACTCCGAAAGACATCGACAGAGATTATCACTCTTTCACTCTACCACCTCATGGAGATGAGCATACCTAAGACAAGGAATAATGTTCAACTCAGATTGTTTTAAGACATCCGTGGCCCATGTGTTTGTAGCACTCCGGCTGTTCGGCTGTTCCAACCAATGGCCGCAGGACGGAAAGGGCTGGTTACCAGTGCACTGGCGAACGCACGAGCTTGCAGCTCGCTTGACCCCTCCGATCCTTTGGCGACTTGGCCGACACCGTCACAAATGACCTGTTTTTGATAGGAAAATGTTGATTAGCCACTGGGTTTGGGAGTAACCTATAAGTTGGAGGGGA